AGGCCTATCAATGATTATGCGGTTGGTGTTTGGTTTTGGTTCATGTTGTAGCTTGTTGCTGTCTTGATTACATTCGCGACCAGAAACATGGAGCACATTTACAACTTTAACCTTCATCTTCATCACTACACTCTTCACCACTAGATTCTTGAACAGCGCCAGATTCTTGAACATCGTCACATTCTTGACCTGCCACCCTGACGGTCTTGATTCGTTTCATGGATCCATTTATTCGCAACAAGTATTAAACCTAAAAACTTTAGTCCACATGTTGGAGTACTAGATGAAAGAATAGTATCAAACCTTAAACTTTAGTCCACATCCTTCCGGCAGCGAGTCGCCATGGACGCAGGACACTGTGACCTTCATTTTTGAAGCAGCAAGCATTTTGACTTTCGACGCGGCCCATCGTACTTGTCTTAGCCTGTAGAACTACGATCTAGAACTCGACACCATAAAGCCAGCAAAATAGATACTCAACTGCATCATTGCATCATGCTGTTTTCAAGCAGCCATCATCATCATGGCGTCTCAAGTAGAACTCCTAAGCTACTGGCAAGACGAAACAGATTCAACGACGACAGAGTGGCCGTGAATGCGTACAGCTCTTATATACGAGTGAGAAGTGTAGTATGCTAATGGATATGAAAATTGCACTTGAATTTGTATCCATTTGAAAAGATGAGAGAACTAGTAGTTAAGAGCCATGTGATAGTTGAGATATCAGAAGCATCAGAATGATGAAATTGGTCCAAATTGGAGATGAATTCTCGAAAAAGTCGCTTTTTATCGCCCATTAAATCGAATTCAATTCCTGGAGTCAACTTTTCTCTCGTCTCAATCTTTCTGCTTCAGAACGAAAACACCAAATCAAGATAAACAAGTTGGGCCCACCCATACTACAGACCTGACACTGTATGAAAATGAGAGAGATTTTCACAGTTGTTTGAGCTACTGTCTCAGAAAAGCTCACCATCAGGAAATGAATTCGAAAAAGATAGCATAAAACTGAAAATTCTTGGATAAGCCAAATTCAAATCTCAAATTTCTTGAAAGACCCAGCTCAAATTGATTCTAGAAAGTGTCGATATGAAAGAATGACCCTAGTCAGTCTAAACATTGTAGCATTCAATCAAATACAACTTTTATCATTCGTAGAAGATTTATGCACGTACGCGTCGCCCGGGGCGCATCAAAACAAACAAACAAGATTTATGCACATATTATGATCACCCTGCACGTTATCTTTATGAATCTGCCAACTAATTCCAAAACTTCATCAAGAAACCCCATTGCTTCGAACTCAGCTCAATGTCTCTATTTGCTCGCTGCACGAGCATTGTGCTTGTACTCATTGCACGAGCGGCGATGTGCATGTTCGTAGTGGAAAGATGTTCTCACACTTAGAAGTGTTGATCCATCAACTAGTGCTCTCCATAGCCATACTAAGTACTCTTTTCTAATCATGATCCTCTGATGCCACGGTGTGAGCTCTTTTCCGATGCTACTCAGCATGTAATCGTGCAAAAGGACCGGCCAACGATTCTAGACCGACAACTACACAGGCACCGACCAACTGTTTCTTTGACTCTCTCTACGTCAACTTCTCCTCTCTCTCACTCTCTCAGCCCCTCCTGCTCTTTGGCATGTGTCTCCTCCTCCTGCTCTGCTCCTCGGTACGGTCCTCCTTGCGAGAGAGAAGAAACTAGCTCGTCCCCTTCAAGAGAGCCAGGGTCCATAAATAGTCCATCCAAGAGACACAGTCCCCTTTTTTTTTCGGAGATTTCTATTTTTCCATAACTTCCACCAAAGAACGCACCCTGTGTGTGAACACATTCACCACAGTGTCACCAAAGCGTCTCCTAAAAAGGCGAAAGCGTGTCCTTATGATCAAGATACTACTTCACGATGACCCAGATTGTGCATCTGCGTAGAAATCGATTTATTGACTGGTGTGCCTGGCATGAGGTCGATGCTCTTCTAATTGTTTGCAAATCAGTAGACATATCATCATCACCAGTGCGTCATAGATGGTCATTCTTTAGCTGAGAAGAAAATCAGTTTACAGCAAAAACGGACCTTTCGAGTAGACATCAGGGACCCAGAAAACGGATTATTCTCGCAAAGAGGCTCTTCGGCTCTTGGTTGCAATCGAGCGAATTATACAAGAAAGTTAGAGGCGAAGTATAGCTATGGTTCGGTCCTCGGTCCATTCCGAATCGATTATTATACATTATAGTCATCATACTTATACCTTTCTTACTTTTCCTCCATCGACTTGTTGATAGGGTAGGATAGGATAGAACAGGATAGGAGGTGATCCATCTAAAGTAGAAAATCGACGATTGCTGTTGATTATCGTCCTTATTCTCTACTATGATCAACAGCCTAGTACAAGCCTACTCCTGTACTATATTAATCAATAGTGGATCCTCCTTAACCACGGCTCCACCTCAGCGTCTATCCATATGGCGGAGACTAGACCGAAAGACAGGAGTAACACAGCTCCGACGTAGCCTAAAATCTGTATCCAGTCGTAGAGCCAGGACGTTTTATCACAGTTCTCCTCATCAAAAGCGAAGTCCTGTTTAGAGGGGAAGTAGAAGGGAAGACTGTAGCGCAGAGGGGAAGTAGAAGGAACGACTGTAGTTTCGAGGGGAAGTAGAAGGAACGACTTTTACTTCTAGACTATTCACTATTGTTCAGTTGTGCTTTTACTTCTAGACTAGTCCTCAGTGGTTGTAGAAGACCGGAGTCGTGGCGTTTGGCTATAGAAAATCAGCCTAGGCAGGAGTAGAAAAGCAATGAATTCTAATTCAAATTCGAGAAGTGTGCTACTAATTGATAGCAATACTTACACAGAGAGGAACTATCTGAAGAGGAATGATTCCTAAAAGTGCTCAAACAGCATTAATTCAAGTGCTGAAACAGGAATCTTTCTGCAGCTCCAAAAATTATAATCTTAGAGAAGGCTACATTCTTCAAGAACGGCTGCTTAGCACTCAAATTTTCGGTGACTTTGACGCAGGATGTTCTTCGATCAAATTAAGTCTCCTTCCTTATGTTGTATCCTTTGGAAATATGAACTCCTATATAATGGGCGAGTTCGAGTACAAGAGATACCCCGACATAATTTGCATGTCATCCGAAGAACCCCAAGAACATGCGGTGGCTTCCACCTCAACATTGTACCCTTGTTGCAAAATCCTCGTCTGTCCTATTGAAGAGGGCTGCGACTGTCCCATTGAAGAGGGCTGCGACTGTCCCATTGAAGAGGGCGGATTCTTCTTCAAGACCTCCTCCATTGATGGCTGGTGTGTCTTCTTCAAGACCTCCTCCATTGATGGCTGGGTCGTCCTTTCCTCCTGGAACTCCTTAGAAGTCGTCTCTTTCTGGGTCAAATCCCAAGTGGTTTTGGTCGTGCTTCCTTCCTGCCTCAGAGGTGTCTGCATCGTGTTTTCTTCCTGCGTCAGGCCTCGCCTCAGATGTGATTAGAGATGAGGCGAGAACTTGTACGTCAGCTGGAGTGAGGTCTTCTACAACTGTGAAGTCTTCAACAACTGAGTTCGCCTAGATATCATACGAGTACCCCTGCTCTACATGTAGTCCTATGTAGATTGAGGAGTGCTCCCTTGTCGTCTTTGACCTGTACACATATAGTCCTATTACATTCTTGTTGGAGTCCTATTTTGACATCCAATAATCACACATTTACATTGTCCTATCTTGACACCCGTGATTGATTGTTGATAATCACACCTAGACAAAAATTAAGAAAGAGCGACCGCTCAAAAATCTTCAAATTGACGATAATATAATAGAAGACGCCCAGTGACTTTAGGAATGTTGCCTTATTTACACTGTGTCAACAAGTTTCCCAAAAGCGTTGCATCTAATATGCCCCTGAGCTGGTCTGGACAGGCACATACAACGGCTCCCCAGTCCGCTGAAAACGGACACGAATTACTCGTAACGGGACACGCCCATCGACCGGAATTGCTATCGTTAGAGATGACGACCTGCGCTGGCGCGCCAGCTTTTCGACCTCAAGCTGAACGACTAGAATACCACATGATCAATTTACATCCGGAACAAAGCTACTTCTTCACCGAAATGTCCTAGAAGTTTTACGACATAACATCGCGGTCATCAGCCAAACTT